ATTTTTGTCATGAAGTGCCTCCACTCGGTCTTCGTTTCAGCATCCCCCATATACAATAAATTTACTCGACCAGAAAGGAGGAGATTCACCACCAACAGACGAGATATAATAATATAGATAACACAGCTTACGTAGCGTATGACGCGGATGTTTATCGTATGTGACACCTTTTGTTTCCTTTTTGGACCTACTTTGCTCAACGTTGGAATATCTAACGGTAAATCCTAGAACTTTGGAACTGCTAACAGGAGGGATTGTGACAAATTCGGCCAAATAACTTGGATTTTCTTCAAATTCGCCTTAATTGTTTAGTCTGAAGACACAAAGCAGTTCAACAAAACCTGTTTGTTCGATTATGCCAAAATACTGCGTTCTTCCATGTAAAATGAGAAGATTCTTGGGTTAACTTGCAATCAATGATTATATGGAAACGTAGATTTTTGTGATATATTAACGGTGCATGATAATATTCCAGCAATCGTACTTATCGAAAAGTCGAAATTGTTTAACTGACACTGTTTAGACACTTTACAGTTGAAGTTTTCTTTGGTATAAATAAACTTTCTAAACAGCAATAAGTGGTTATGAAATAAAACTCCTAATTTTCTGAAAATCAGCAATAATATTCCAAATAAAATAGGACCTGATTTATGTCCACAAGAATCAAAATTGTTTCCAGGAGATAGCTATAGCGAAGCCAAAAGCCGCTCCACACAGTAACCTTGTGTTTGGTTGAACAAGGCCTTATTGCCAATGGTCCAGCATTAAACAACCAAAGAATGAAACAATATAGGGGAATATTGACTACAGTCGAATAATAAATGTTTAGTCAAACAAGACGGAGGAATGTCAGAATATGGCTACTGAGGCCATGACACTTTTCGTCACTTCTTTCTTGGCAAACAATTAACAGCCTCTAACACATAGATCTGACGGAGAATGAACCAAATCAATCTAGATGTGTATGATATTTTGTGAGTCGTCTGTTTGCTTTTGGTAGACATTCTACCTGTTTTTTGAGGAATGAGGTGATTTTCACTAAGACCAAATCCTGCACTTTGGTTTTATTGTTTTGTGTGCACTTATATTTGTTGACCTTACTCCATAATTCTATCTAAAAGACGTGCTAAATGACGTAAGGGATTCTTGAACCTGTACGTATAAACAGCATTTGGCAAGAAGTTGGGAGGCTTTGACCCTATTTTACTTTGGCTTCATCCACTACTTTGTCCTCGACCGAAACTTGAAGACACTTTGAGAGCTGTGAGGGTGATTTATCATCTGATGCCATGCCTTGGTACTAACATTGAATCCGTCGACCTTACGATATATGTTGTGGTGGACCAAAAGTATAATAACCAAAAATTAGCGATAAAGTTATTACGTCCAAATGTTAATGTAACAATAACAATTTACAAATTAGTAACACAAAATAAAATTTCAGGGACGTTACTTAAATCAGCTAGTTGTTGCGTGTCCCGTTGAGTTTTGGTCCCAAAAATCCACAATTATTTATGAGTAATAACTCCAATGAGGTAAATATGACTCCAGTAAGTTTCTTTGACGTAGGATGTAATAGAAATGGCACAGCAGTCTAAAATGTGGATAATATTCGACCTAGAATGCGATTAGCTCGATAACGCGTGAGAATAGAACAAGGAGCGTGTGTGTGTAGTAGTGTATTTGCGAACAACCAAAAGTGTGTCACGCTATGTTAGCATCACAACGGAAAAAGTGTTCAAGGTCATTTACTAAAACAACAGGTACAATCATTTAATGATAAATGTACATGCGATGAGAAATTGACAAATACAAATAATATTAAAAACTATTTACAAAATAAGGTTGCCAGACCTATCTCCACAATGTAAACGATTCGCTATCTGCTGGATCTATTCTCGACCATCAGTTGCACATCGCAATGCAACCTTCATAAGGCGCAACAACTGCGATATTGAAAATATGATTCTTACTGAAACCATCTGCATTCATATCTTATAAAATATCGACCCAGCTGAGTGATTTACTACAGTGAAAATTGTATCTTTTGTAACAATTTGATCTTGCCTGTATACTGGCATGCCTCATGTAACAGACTGCTATTTGGGAATAAATTATTATTATTGATGAGGAAACTGCATATCAACATGAAAATATTTATACAGGACTGTGTAAGAATAATAGCTCTTATTTTTCATGTGGCAGGCTCAAAATATACAAAAACAAATCATGAATTAACGGAGAAACCTCACTAATTTCGAACTGTCAACTTGGTTTGCACTTTTTGAGTGACAGAGTTGAATTAAATTATTTCCCTGTCAAAACAGTTTTTATTTTCAAACGCGGCTACCAGCAAGAGGAGAAATATCGATCTTTGTGTGACACAGGTTGACTTTTCATAATTAACCAGTGAAAATTGGAAGCTATCATATGTGGACTGTTCTATTCTCACAACAGGTTATCATTTCACTTTTCTATTTAGCAGTCTAAATTAACTCGCCGCATGATTGCTGAGGCATCCAGTTCAGAGATATACAGCTTACTGGTTCCAACCGCGAATGTTTATATGAGCAGGTTAACCACGAATTTACTCCTTATGGAGTTCAGGACGCCCGTTTCTTTCTATTTGAAACTCGTCAGCCTAGTGTACCTGGATTCTAGAATAGATATCCACTCCAGGACCTAAGTCCAGTACTATTTGCTCCAAAAACTGTAGCGCTATTCACTTAGCTACTGAGACCACGCAGCCACTGGCTTGTGCAGTGGAGTTAGTCCATAATTTATCAAATCTTTCTTCTGTTGTCTAAGGTCGGAATTGATCAGTCTTCTTTTTTTTATGTGTGCATCCTGTACGGAATGCCCATATATTTCATTTAAGTTACAGGCATCCTAAGCGTAATTGCATAGTAGCCATCTGTGACTGATCGACTGCAGTCCAAAACCACAATAGGGGATCGAAAAAAACTAACATAAAAGAATTAAAACTCTTTCGTATTGGTGGTCTAGTTTATTACGTATGAGGTGAAAGACAGCTGATTAACGTACAAACACTTCACAGTGTCATACAGAAAGGTAGAAAATGTAGTGTCAATATAAAATAAGGAAGTAGACAACCGATTATTAGTGAGTTTTTTAGGTGTCGTTACTTAACTTGCACGGAAATCCAGTTTAAAGGTTTCTGTTAGGTTCCAAAATCATTTATTAGTTTCATCCCCAACTGGAGTCTGACTTATCGTCTAAGAAGGTGAGTTGTTATCGGGCGTGTCTCACTTTCATCAGCAGTACCTAGTGTAGACAGATGGTTATGAATACTGTCACTCTTTTGGCGATGGTAGCGGGCATTCTCCAAGTTTCTGCAACGAAAAGCACAACTGTTTTAGTGTTAGAGCTGAAAATCTTGGGCTTGGTCTTAGCCGACAGTTCCTCTGTACTCCAAATATTCTTCAGTTTTACAAATGTTTTTGAGATACTTGCACTAACTGGTGAACCTTGAATACTTGGTTACATACATACATATAATAGGTTCAAATGTCCTTACCTATTTCTACTTGCATTGAACTGTACTATTTCGGGATTCCTGGTTAGAAAGTTAATTCAAATAATATTGGGGTCGCAATAGGGTGTGTGATCGGACACTCTGATATACATTCGAATTTTGAATCTTTCGAGGATTACACAGAAGGATTTTCAATCTGGAGTATGACTAGCAAAGATGTTAAGGAACGTAAAGTTGTGATTTATCTCTTTGCATTCTTCGGAAAGGATGTCCGCAGCTTACTAAAAATTTGGCATTTCCAGATAAGACTATACGACTTTACTACGCAACTCACAAAGAGCTACTGCCAAGTCATGTATGGTTTAAAATTTCCAAATCCGATGAAAAAGCGAAGTTCAATAATCTGACTCGTCGGGATAACCAGACGTCTAGGTAATTTACTTTCGAATTGTAGAAACAAGCCTCCAGGCGTAGGCTTGGTGGTCAACTCCGTGTGCGGCTGTGCGATGCAGTGGTCTTAGGAATCAGTATGTCACGTCTGGAAAGGGTATTGCACAAATTCCGAAGTATTTATTCCAAGGCGCTGGAGCTACCTGTATTAGTTTTGATGTAATGCATGAAATTGACTTGAGGGATGTCGATAATTCCACCACATAACTTAGTTATCTCAATCCGACGCGTACTCAACGTTATGCGTCAAGGAGGAGTTGCAAGCAGGTTACAGAGGTGAGCACAGGCTTGGTAAATGTTTATCATGTGGTAGATTTCACTTACGCAATTCATGTGTCTTTTGTCATGTTAATTCTTCTAAATGTGGTAAAATGGGACAGTCAGTAAATCTTCTGTTCATTTGGACGCAAGTAACACTAAACTCAGTAATTCGAATCCTATTAATCTGGGTGAATAGTCATCAAGTTCTGTCCGTTTTTACAACTTTGAGCAATTCATTTCGCATTTAAAAGCGGTTATACTCGTATAGTGGCGCTTTCATGATTTTATTGCTGACATTAGCAGTATCACGTTTATCATTTCAGTTGAAAAGATGGAGTCAATAAATTCCAATGCAATAAATAAACCTAGTAAAGTTTCTAACTCGAGTATCACAGGTCATAAACTACCTATTTTTGGGAGTTATAATTCGCTGGTTAAAGACGGTAAATTTTACTTGCTTGTAAATTCCTCACTACTGATTGTGGACTGTCTACAAAATTTAGGAATGCTCCAAGGACAGTCTTCCTTCTTGACCACTGAAGACAATTCTAATAAAATGTTTGATAAATTATTAACTACAGAACCGAAGTGATAAAAATTACGCATGAGTTATTATTATTATTATTCACAAACATCTTATGGGTACATAAGTGTTGTGAAGAAAACATTTCGGGTTTCTTCAAAAAATGCAATAATACACTGTAGAATCCAAACTACGGTTTGGATGTTGAAGAATAGCCTACCGGGGACTTTTAGATACGCGCCCTTTCCCGTCGAAATCAGAACAAGTAATCGGGTAACTAGCGGTTCTATAATTCATAATAAATTTAATGTAAATCATTACCTAAACAAATATTATCACCCGGCTATTCAACCAATGATTGTTCAATCAATTAAATCTAAATTACAATAATAAAGAAGTTGATAGAAGATGAGGAAAAATTACCGATCACAACAAATCAACGTTATTCTATCCTGGCTGGATAGATCACACACAACAGGAGGAACAAATCAATATGGCTACCGCCAAGAACAAGTGTCAAGTAAAACAACACAGATGCAGTTCAGGAAGAAACACAAACTTAGTGAATGCGTAAGAAAAACAAAAACTATAATAAAAAATACAAGTATTAACAACTCAAATGTAATCAAAATACAACAATGTACAACTAAGGGAATCAATAGGAACAAAGTACAAGTATATACATGGAGGGATTTTCACCAACACACAAAACCTTCAAAATGGATCTTACACCGGCCCCCAAAATCCCTCCATACCACACAAGCTACCTTGATGCCTACGGTCATGGTTCATTATATAACATATCACATCATAGGAACGAGTAGGACTTACAACAGTACGCCTACTCGACCTAACTACATTAATAACAACAAAGACTAATCCAAAGCTTCAAGGAGACCTGCTTCACCTGTTCTCTGGTGGTCAACGATAACAGTCGTGATATAGACCTAATCACTCTTCCCCAAACTCCACCCATGCTGTTGGATGAGGGCCTCGCTGACAATTCAATGTTTATCTTCTGATTCGACTGCTGCACAAACTTGCTTAACTCAGAAACTGTCCCCACGAAGCTTGACGCACTGACACTGTAAATCTCTGGAGGTTTCCTTCTTCTTCCAATAAAGCGTAATAGAGCCATTAAAAATGAATCAGAAATCAAATTACACATCATTTCAATATGTACTGCCCATGTTTGCAAACAAGTAAACACATATCCATACCCTTTTTCTAATGATCTCCCTATATGTCCTTGTTCTTTATGACAATGTCTAACTATCATTTCCGTCACTAAGTGTCGACTGGGTAAAATTACTGGATGTTTAAAAGCATTTGGGAAATCTGAGTATCTTAGTCGACCTCCAACGCAGAGTAACCCATCAAGCATCATCAACGATAAACCTTTCAGATCATCATGGCTTACTACTTTACTGCTGTTCTTAAATTCACTAAGTAATTCTCCATACACTTCTCTCTGAACCATCAATAAAATCTTACGCTTGGCAATCTCAAGCTCTTTAACCTTTAAACATCCTAGATGAACGGATCCTTCACAACTCGGTAAACGAAGTACCATCAGGAATTCGATGAACCTTCTAAACCAGGTTACAGCTCTGACTAATTTCAACCACTCGGAATAATAAGACAGAATAGGTGTCATGTTGTACTTCATACTACTCAAGTTAACCACAGCAGGTTTTCTAAATTCAATATCGTCAGGAGTAGGTTCCGGACAGTCAGTGATTGTTATATAAAATTCGTCATGCAATAAAGTAGGACATTTGAACCAAGATTCAAGATCGGTCATTTTTTGTATACTTCCTCTACATAATAATTCACTTATCTGCTTAACGAAACTCTTTGCTTGATCACAAGTGGGAATGGATATCAAGCAATCATCAGCATAAAAATTATTCTTGACATCATCTACAACATAACCATCATAACCGTCCAAGAATATTTGGGTCGTCTTATTCAAGGCAAAGTTCGCACGAAACGGCGAGGATGTGGCATCAAATGGATGGGATGTCATTTGAAACTCGGATGGTTCCCTTGACATGTCTCCCTCCTGCCACCACAGAAATCTTGAAGCTCCTCGATCAGACTCAGGGACCTTCACTTGCATGAACATTTCTTCAACATCTGCAGGGATTGCAACTGCCTCCTTGCGAAAACTTATTAATATACACCTTAACTCAGCAGTGGTATCGGGTTCTTGATAAATCATATCATTTGGGGGAACCCCTGCAAGCTGGGCGGCACAATCAAGGACCACTCTAAGATCTGGTTTTTTCATGTTTAATACTGCACGGTGAGGTAAATACCATCGAGGGCGATAATAAGACTGCAGATATATTTCAAAGACCCTCTCCGCATAAGTCTTAGTAAAATCACTTTCAGTACTTTTGATATACTTGATGTGCAGACTGACATCCTTCGACAACATACCCTTCAAACCTTGTAATCTACGATTTGCTACTTCACAGTTATCCACTTTCATATCTGGATTCTTTTTCCAAGGTATAGAAACTACAAAATGACCGTTGCCGAAGCGCATGCCACCTTCCACAATCTTTATAGCCACCTTGTCGTCTACTGATAATGATTTATCACTTGAATAAGCATCTGAAAACTCTACGTCATAAGGCTTACGTATTTCGTTCTCTAATGTCTGTATCTTACTGGTATGATTAACAACTCTTTTCCTATATTCCGGGCATGATGGCTTATCATTTACAACGTTGCTTGTCGAGTCAGTGTGCAGCAGAGCGTGATGTCTCCTCTCACAACTGTCAACCTTACAGAGCCTTGTCATCTTACATTCATTAACCTTATGTCCTTGTCTAAGACAGACGAAACAGATACCCTTGCTTTTAGCGTGAGACCATCGGTCTTGAACTGTAAGCGCTAAGAACTGTGGACATTTATCAATGGCATGGTCGTAGGAACACATACTACATTTAGTTTTCATTGTCGAACTATTCCCTTGCTCTGATTGCACGTGACAGTTCGTCTTTACGTTATGTCCTTTTCTAGAACTGTTTGCTAACCGTCCAAATCTACTACAAGCCACTCTCGCACGCGATGCGATAAACTGAGTGAGCTCGTCGAAGGTCGGCTCTCTATCATCTTCAGTCAATTTATCCACCCAGTCCGCCCACTGGGCTTGCATAGGTTGGGGCAAGAGTCTCACTATTCTTTCCAAAGTAACTAAGGAATTTAGATCAGAGGTATAATTCATCTGTTCCAAGACCATAGCACAGTTTTCCATTTTAATAGCCAAGTTTGATAGTTGCTCCCCGTCAGTATAATCAAAATTCACAGCATTGAATAAGTCTTCTAATGTCTCTCGAGCGATTACATGAGACTGTCCAAACAAACGTTTAAGGATTTCCCTTGCCCTCCTGTAACCAGAGGATGCTTCCATCATGACACAACCTTCGATAGCTGTCTTCGCCTTGCCCTTACAATAGTGCATGAGATAGAGCAAACGTTGGCTATCATCGGTGACTCTTGATGCTATATACGTCTCAAATTGTCTTATAAACTTCCAGTATCCTTTTGGCTCTCCATCAAAATAACTCAATTCAACCTTTGATAGTTCTAGACCAACAACAGGCGCTATAGGCAAAACGCTTCTTCCTGATAATTCAAGCCTTTGCTTCTCCTTTAAACTAAGATTTTTTACGTCATCTGTCATCGAATTAAGACTAGAGTCACTACCATGATAATCAACCCTATTCGAGTCTGAACCATGACACTTAAGGACATCAAAAGGCACTTGCTTGGTAATAGGGGATTCTTCATTAACATCAACGAACTTTGAACTTGATTTCCTTCGACGATTAGTTGGCATTATAGACGAAACGACCAAATATTTCCAGAAACGATAATCAAATCCGCGAACGATTGCCAAACGACTTCGGCCAATTAATAATTGTTTAGAACTGTAGAATCCAAACTACGGTTTGGATGTTGAAGAATAGCCTACCGGGGACTTTTAGATACGCGCCCTTTCCCGTCGAAATCAGAACAAGTAATCGGGTAACTAGCGGTTCTATAATTCATAATAAATTTAATGTAAATCATTACCTAAACAAATATTATCACCCGGCTATTCAACCAATGATTGTTCAATCAATTAAATCTAAATTACAATAATAAAGAAGTTGATAGAAGATGAGGAAAAATTACCGATCACAACAAATCAACGTTATTCTATCCTGGCTGGATAGATCACACACAACAGGAGGAACAAATCAATATGGCTACCGCCAAGAACAAGTGTCAAGTAAAACAACACAGATGCAGTTCAGGAAGAAACACAAACTTAGTGAATGCGTAAGAAAAACAAAAACTATAATAAAAAATACAAGTATTAACAACTCAAATGTAATCAAAATACAACAATGTACAACTAAGGGAATCAATAGGAACAAAGTACAAGTATATACATGGAGGGATTTTCACCAACACACAAAACCTTCAAAATGGATCTTACATACACAATTTTCAACAATGTCAGCATTATACTTGCCATTAAAAAAATTTAGAGCAATAATAGTAGAATATTAATAATAATGAATCGGGTCTGTGCAATTGAGAAGAATATTGAATTGAGTTTAAAGAAGGAAATGGAGAAAATAAAAGAATAGAAATAAAGGAGACGTGAAATACGCAAACAGTCTAATAGGCGTGTTTACGAACACAGAACAAGTATAAACGACTATGTGTGTATCGATGAATTAACAACAAAAAATAATTAAGAAAAATTAACTTATAATTGCAGTAAGATATGACGCTAGAATTAATGTTTGTGCAGTCATAGTTTAGAGTGATGCTATGAATGTTACAATTAAATGAATAGGATAATAAAATATCAATATGTATGAGACATATATGCATAGTGAAGATAAAACGGGTCTGAGAATTTAATTTAAGTGTAACACAAGTTATTGTCTTAATTACAAACTTCGTAATCTTAAGAATAATATTTATTTAGAAGGAAAGAAGAGGGAAAAGAAGTGAACACTTAGTGAAAAGTTTTGATCCATGATAAGAATAATAATTGTGTAATGAATATCAACCTCACAAGGAAACCAGCAATTGAAAAAATAAAATAAAAATCCGTTAAAGCACTTTCATTCTCACACACAAGTAAAAAATTTCAAGACCTGGAAAACAAACACCTAAATTCAAAAACTGGGACAGAAGAGTAGACAAATTATTTTGATGCAGAATTACCGGACCGTACGCAACAGAAAAAACAATGAAATTCTCTTAGAAAATGTAGTCCAAATAAGGAACGTTTACAGTTTGCCGACGTTACATGCCATCGACGACCTGATTTTCCTCAATCTACGAAGGTTACAATAAAAAGGCTGATAAGTCCGTTGTTCACGTGCAAACCATTCACAACAATCGCGTATGTTACAACGACCCAAGTGAGTCCGTTCCGGATTCCATTGTTAATTCTAATACGAATAAGTACTTCCCGGATGATAGAGAGTTTCTATCCAAAACAAAGCTGGTCAGACACATGATAAAGCTTAAGAGTAGACGCACAGAGATTACGGGAATCTGGATCTCCATTAAGACTGTAGTGGTCGTGACATTTATATTAACTTAGTCCTTAGTACGTAACTGCTTGTCTATTACGAATTCCACAGGTATAATAGGTTTACCTGCCATAAATTGTAATTTTTCGGAGTTCTTATTTGGTAAATCGATTCGAATACTTTCACTTGTTTCCTATGCTTCGTCGGTCTGCGTACCTATATCTGCATGAGGTCCTACTTATCTCTCATTGGTGCTGCATGGGTGTGCAAAGTCTTCTATTTCTTCCAGAGCTTCCGTCACAAGTATGACTTGGTTGTTGCTCACTGTATTACATTTCGCGATCATGCCCTATTTCATTTGAATTCTGCACTATCCCCTGTTGAACTGATTATCCTTATCTACATTTGCTGCTGTATACGCGATATGATGGCCAAGTCACTTACAAAAGTTTAGTCCTCCAACTCCCTTTAAGGTGTCCACTATAGTCTATTATCCCTCTGATATGTGGAAGTCTTCATAATCCAATCGACATACAAAATGAGGCAGCATGAGAACTGGTAGCATTATCTGATACCAGTATTATCTTCTAATGCCCTTGTGAGCTGGTCTCCACGCGCGACTTTAAAGGTGCTTCAGGTATCAACAGTTTGACGACGCCTTTACACATAACACCTTTATAATCGAAGTATAATAGTACACTCAAATCATTGTTCAGAAATGAAGCGGTCGGAAGATAAATTAAGAAGACTATCAAAATGTCAAGAACGGTTTGGTCTAAGCTGACGTATCCACTCATGATCTGATTCTACAACTTACATTTTAGTTCACTGTGGTAGTTCCGTATGATATTAGTGATTTCCTCAGGTACTTTGAAGTGTTGAGGAAGACTCGACAAAGCCTTTTGGCCCATGCTTTCGAATATTTAGGAAGTACATGTACAGCGACAAACCCTATTAAATTGACTGTTCAGTAATGCCCTACAACGTCACGATTCGGTCTGCATGATATCCATCTTTAAGAACACCAGCTCGCTCGTCTGGATTTCGAAAGTTTGCCAAACCTTTCACTAGGCCACTAATTTCTTTCAGTGTTGGCGAGATATTTTCTGTATAAATGTCTAGGTGTGTCGCTTCAATTTTTGTTCGGCTCGGTGGGGCTCACCTATTCAAAAGCTATTCAAAATATTCTGTCCGCCTGTTCTTTTTGCTTTTATATTTCCTTCCCTCGCAGATTTTTCAAATGTAGTGTTCATATCTCTATAGTTCTACCTGTGATCTGTAGTGCTTCTGTTTACTCGTTTGACTGGTTTCCTATATTTGCCCCGTGTATTTGACTTTTCCACATTCGTTCGGCTGTTGTTGACTGTTATTCAATTATTCAGTCTACCGAGATCCTTTCTTTACGTCCGAGTAAACCAAAGAAAGAGAGCTGAATGACAAGTTTTATGGGAAAAAAAATCAAACTGCAAACAACCCTTTAGTTATGTGTTGTGACAAGCCTTGCTGAACACTACCAAGGACTTGGCATCTTTATTATTTTAAAAGACTCAAACGCAAACAAACCGAACGATTTTTATTAACTCGTCAGTTATAATCAGTGTTCCGGATGGGATCTGATAAAAAGCCTTTCATATACGATAAAATTTCCTGCCTCCATCCCAATACACAAAAACTTGACGAAACTAATGAGAAGGCTTGAAGATGGTACAGGTATTCAGTGTTTGACAACGCTTCTATCAGTAACACCTAATATAATTCGTACTCACCAAGAGAAGTCAAAAGACAGAGTCGAGGAGATCGGAAGAGTGTATTTGGCGATGACCAACATATCGGAATTCTCTGACCTAATCTGGCTAGCGATTGCGGTAGATGTTGAGCACAGCGTTACCACACGTGATCTGGTACGGATGCATGACCGAGCGCCTTCAGCTAGATGAGTCCACTAAAACATATGGTCAGCATTCAATGTAGAAAACTTACAGAGCTATTTATTTTGGGGATTTATTTACCGATACAGATCACCCCCCCTTGTGGGGCAGTGAAGACCCCAAGACGTGGCCAGCCAGAAGTTTAAACCCAACGAGTTTGTCGTTGGTAAACACTTATGATAGCTTACTAGGTTGAGGAGCGTCTGGTCGTCTTTCCTTACTATATGGGACCGAGGTACAACATAGTAAAAAAAGAAAAGGTACAACGAAAATTTTGACTCCTCGTAAACTTCATCGTTCTTTTCCAGCCGTCCTGGAAAAGGAAAAAGAAAATGTAAGTGTATATCGAAGTACACTCGTATGTGCGCAAAAACGCAATGTCGGCGAAAAAATGGAAAATATAAATATATAGGCATATTAAAATTGTTTTTTTTTTAAATATTATAAATCGTAAAGAGAAAGATCGAGATAATGTAAAATGTCGAGTAGTGCCTTACGTGTAGTAGTCGTTTATATGTTCTGGAAATCTTATTCCTCTTCCGGAACGCGTCGTTTTAAGTTTATTTTCAGACACATTCAGAGTATCATCGCGTGTGTTGGCTATCAGTTGAGGAATTATGAGTGTAGGAGTCGTGTTGTGCGATTGTACCGAAGGAAAGTCGACGTGAATAGGATTTCATTCTAAATACGTTGCTTTGAGGCGATCGATGCTGATGACATCGTTGGTTCTGTTCTTATCGACTATATAGTACGTTGAAGAACTTTGAAAGGTCCCTCAGATGCTGATTCGAATGGTCGTCGATGCGAGTCTCGACGAACGAAAACGTGTGTACTATATCGTAAGTCAGGTTGAACGAAAACATCAGTTGATTGAGGTCGAGTGGAAGCAGGTTTAACTGAACGCATTGTGTTTGTAAGCCTGTTCGTGTAGGAGGTTAGATCCATGCTCATTGAAGAGGATGAAGGATCCACGAATTCTCCTGGAAGTCGAAGTTTCGTTCCATAAACGAGTTGAGCCGCAGTGTATCCAATGTCAGCTTTCACTGCATTGCGGATACCTAGTAAGACGAGTGGAAGAGCGTCGGTCCAGTGAGAAATGTTTGCAGCTGATAGTGAAGCTTTTAGTTGTCGGTGAAAGCGTTCTACCAACCTGTTTGCTTGTGGGTGGTAGGCAGTCGTTCGGAAGCGAGTGATTCCTAAAAGCGTGGTCAGACGACGGAAAAGTTCAGATTCAAACTGACGTCTGCGGTCTGTAGTGATGGTTGAAGGGCAGCCGAAGTTTGCCACCCCATCGTTCGACGAAAGCGCGGGCTACTGTTTCAGCAGTGATGTCCTTGATACGTACTGCTTCTGGCCATCGAGTGAAACAGTCTACGAAGGTTAAGAGATAACAGTATCCATTTGAATCTGGTAAAGGTCACATCAAATCCAGATGAACATGGTCGAAACGTGCATCGGGAGTTTTGAGAGAGCCTAAGGGACATTTATTGTGTCTGATAACCTTAGATTTTTGGCAGCTTACACAGCAGCGTGGCCACTCCCTCACGTCTTTATTCATGCCAGGCCAGCAAAACCGTTCTGCTATAAGCTTGATGGTTGCACGAACACCTGGATGAGAAAGTTTGTGC